CCGCATATTTTTTTTTTTTACACGCATGCGTCTGCTCTTGTATATCTCCTCCCACACTTGGAAAAAAAAAAGCAAATCCTAATTATAAGCTTATCCCTGCAAAATCAAATTAGTTTGTAAATCTAAACCATGAGTAACACTTCTTTTATTATTGCCTTTCGCAGGGAAACTGGAATTTAAGGTTGTGTAGCCTTCAGTAAAAGAAAAAAAACAAGGTAGGGGATCTGAACTCATTCCTTATTGCAGAAGAGACGTACCTGTTCTTTTAGGTACTCTGACTTTTTGCACTTTATGAATTCCCCTCAGAGATCTTTTTCAGCCTCCCTGTGACCCAGACCTGCCTCTGTAGATCAATAGAACGGCATGGGGTGAGATTTTTAATTGAGCGTTCCTGAAGGGCAGGGAATGTTTTAATGAGACCTGGTCCTGTTTTCATCCTGACCTTTGAGGTTCTTCTCTACAGGCGTCCATCCTCTAACTTTAAAAGAATATATGGACTTGTAGGGTTACCCCAGAGGTTTTTACCGCACCACAATTCTCAGCAGAGGTTGACATTTTAAACTCAAATTCAATATGTACAGACGTTTTTTATGATTAAATAATGGATGGCTCGATGTAAGTTTTATCAGTGTTAAATGGAACAGGATCTTGGTCTAATAAATTATCTAAAAACTAGAATGTGTCCATTATTTTTTTCTTAGGTGGGCTCTGGCACTTAACATCAAAATTAACTTTTCTCAGAAAGTATTCCTTGTTTTTAAAAGCCTTGATAAACTTAAAACTTGAAGCAATATATTTTAAATGATCAGTATAATCATGACTGTTGCAACCCTTAAGTTGTATTTCTTTCATAAAGAAAAAGGTACAAACACCTGTAATGTTTTCTTGAAGCCTTTAAAGATCTGTTAAGAAAAAAAATTAAATTAAATAAACCAGAAAAAAACAAAATAATGACATCCATCCATTTTCTGACACGTGTATCCCTGCTGGGGTCGCAAGGGGTGCTGATGCTGTCAATGGGCGAGAGGCAGGGTACACCCTGGAAAGGTCTAAACTAGAACAACTGCTTGAAATTATATTATAATTTCTTATAATAAATTTAGGATATCAATTTTACGTTATGCCACTGCCCTTGTGTCGTTACTTAAATGTGGACCATCACAGGTTTCTGATCGCCTGGTTAAAGCATGTGGTTGCACGTTCAGGACATGCATCCTCCAATCGCTGAGGATGCATTTTAAGCTTAAACATGTATGTACATGTATTATAATCAAAACTACAGGTATTTTTGACAAGTTATTTTATGCATACTCTAAAGGTTTTCTTATATAAAACCCTTAAAATTGCAGAACTCCATTTAGGACCAAGACTAAATGTAATAACGTGGCTTCAAACTAATCTTTGGGCAGCAACACTCATTGTGCCATAATTTGATAAAGGGTCTAGAAAATAATAATCCTTAAAAGTTACATTGATAATAACTTTTTTTCAGGTTGCTATAATGTTGCCTAAAGCATTTCTCAGAAGTTGTAAAAGTTACTCCAATTTATCCACTATAGTACAAGTTCAGTTATTAGCATCAGTTCCTTAAGCATTATCATGTCATAAGCATCAAGGGTAGTATAATAGAGCTTAAAACCTGTTTCTATTATGTCTACAAGTTCGACATCAGTCAAATTTATTCATCCATTTTCTATGCCTGTCAGAATCTTGGGAGGCTGCTGCTTATCTCCAGCGGTCCTAAGGGGAAAGGCAAGGTACAACCCAGATAGCCTGGCTGCCCGTCACAGGGTGACACACAGAATAAACAAGCATGCACACACAAAGTTACGTCCAAGAACAATTTGGACATGCCAGTCAGTCAAATTCAGGAAAAATTTGATTTATGTACTGTAATAACATAAAATTTCACACCCATTCTATGTAGTAAGACACAAAATATTAAAAAAAAGTAATACAGTTTAGAATTTAACTAATTTTGAATCTTTCTGACATGAAAAGGTAAAATACTGAGATGTAACTTTGCTTAAAAACATATTGCTAAAAATATTAGACAATAATTTAAGAGCAGCTGGTAGCATGGCAGGTACATTTTAGTTTTTCAAAGGCTTATCTTCATCCAAGAGCTTTGTCAAAATATAGGCTTTGAGGTGACAGTTCTCTCTGTGTGAGTGGGTCACTTCATGCCGCAGGTTACCGTGGTTATGCTAGAGCACTGATTACTAAGCAGACCGTAATGTGCTCAGGATCTGATCTGACATGCTAGGAGGGGCCTAACTGTGGGCTTTCACTCAGTTGAATAAAATATTTATTTTTCTTTCCCTAAAGGCATGTTTTCACAATAGAAACAAGATTAGATTTTGCAGGAAAATACTCCCACCCTTGCTTTTTCACTGCTCACTGGGTTAATAGGAAATGACTAGTAGAAATATACCACATTGTTGTGGGTTTAAATGATTCCATCCTAATGGAGATTGGTGTTCTTTAAAGACAGGCTAGTTAGCAAGTCAGACTAAAAATCAATTACCAAATCTACTTAATGTATAAAGACATCGTTGAAGCAGTGTTGCAGGAAAATCCGCGGATCTTTTGAGGCCGATGGTTAGAGCATAGGAATGGCAGTCTAAGAAATGGCCTGTACTGATAAAGCGCTTTTTTTAAGTCAGGAGACTTGACCAAAGTGTTTTTCCACAAAATTCAGTCACTAACCATTCTTTGCACTCAGACTGATGATGGCAAGCTACATTATAGCCACAGCTGCACTGTGGCTCATTGACAGAAGCGATGCAACCATGCAAAGGCAGCACCAGACCCACTGGACCCCATCAGTAGGCAACAAAGACATTGAAATCCAGAGATTTCAGCCAGAGCCTGAGGTTTGAACCCGACCACTATTCAGTTGCAGGGCAAAGTCCTGCATCTGACGCCATTGTCGCTCCAAGAAGGTGGAAAGGACACATTTTAAACCCCATAGACTGCCACCCTGAGCAAAAAGCCTCTCTCTCTGAACAGTGTCTGGGCGGCTGTGATTGCTGCAACACAAAAAGCTGATTTGTAGCAAACCTATAACTGCAAAGACTGAAGGGAAGGATTCCTACTTTCTTTATTGGTAAATATAGATCTGGGCTTTATTCTTATTAGAGAAAAATATGGGATTCAACTTCCATAATCATGTGCACTAATAGTTCAATAATTTTTCAGTTTTTTTTTTCCAGGAGCCAAAACCTGACTTTTATTTTCCTCAAAGTTATAGTTGAGGATTTTCACAAATTTTTTAAAAGACCCACTGTCTCCACTTTAAAAAAAAACAAAAAAAAAACATATCCACAACCCTGTACCCATGCACTAGAGGGAACGCTTATTACACACATGCAAGCCCATTTTTCCTTGTGCTTAAAAGTTGCTGTTTGCATCACTTATACACTATATTGCCAAAAGTATTTGCTCACCTGCCTTGACTCACATATGAGCTTAAGTGACATCCCGTTCCTAATCCATAGGGTTCAATATGACGTCGGTCCACCCTTTGCAGCTAGAACAGCTTCAACTCTTCTGGGAAGGCTGTCCACAAGGTTTAGGAGTGTGTTTATGGGAATTTTTGACCATTCTTCCAGAAGCGCATTTGTGAGGTCGCACACTGATGTTGGACGAGAAGGCCTGGCTCTCAGTCTCCGCTCTAATTCATCCCAAAGGTGTTCTATCGGGTTGAGGTCAGGACTCTGTGCAGGCCAGTCAAGTTCATCCACACCAGACTCTGTCATCCATGTCTTTATGGACCTTGCTTTGTGCACTGGTGCACAGTCATGTTGGAAGAGGAAGGGGCCAGCTCCAAACTGTTCCCACAAAGTTGGGAGCATGGAATTGTCCAAAATGTCTTGGTATGCTGAAGCATTCAGAGTTCCTTTCACTGGAACTAAGGGGCCAAGCCCAGCTCCTGAAAAACAACCCCACACCATAATCCCCCCTCCACCAAACTTTACACTTGGCACAATGCAGTCAGACAAGTACCGTTCTCCTGGCAACCGCCAAACCCAGACCCGTCCATCAGATTGCCAGATGGAGAAGCGCGATTCGTCACTCCAGAGAACGCGTCTCCACTGCTCTAGAGTCCAGTGGCGGCGTGCTTTACACCACCGCATCCGACGCTTTGCATTGCACTTGGTGATGTATGGCTTGGATGCAGCTGCTCGACCATGGAAACCCATTCCATGAAGCTCTCTGCGCACTGTTCTTGAGCTAATCTGAAGGCCACATGAAGTTTGGAGGTCTGTAGTGATTGACTCTGCAGAAAGTTGGCGACCTCTTCGCACTATGCGCGTCAGCATCCGCTGACCCCGCTCCGTCAGTTTACGTGGCCTACCACTTCGTGGCTGAGTTGCTGTCGTTCCCAAACACTTCCATTTTCTTATAATACAGCTGACAGTTGACTGTGGAATATTTAGGAGCGAGGAAATTTCACGACTGGATTTGTTGCACAGGTGGCATCCTATCACAGTTCCACGCTGGAATTCACTGAGCTCCTGAGAGCGACCCATTCTTTCACAAATGTTTGTAAAAACAGTCTGCATGCCTAGGTGCTTGAATTTATACACCTGTGGCCATGGAAGTGATTGGAACACCTGATTCCAATAATTTGGATGGGTGAGCAAATACTTTTGGCAATATAGTGTACAAGCTTACTTTCTAATAGATTTGCAATTTTTCCACTATGTCAGACTCACTACCGGTAAGTGAAAATGGAGATGAGCACATAGGATGGCCTTGGGTAAACATATCACCAGAATGATTGACAATTAGGAGGACCACTTATTTTGATGATCCACCCGGAAAAAGAACTATTCCACTATACCTTTAACTTTCATGTTTAAGGTTTTTAACTTTTTAGATAGATTTCAAAGGAATTGTATATGTCCAATAACATTTGCAATAAAACAGACACCTTGCCATACAAATGCAAAAATCTAATTTGATTTATAGTCAAAGTAATGACACGTTACAAATTTAGGCAGTGTGGCAATATCATTTTATTACAGATTCCCCAAGTTACAAATGTTCCACTGTTAACCACACAAATGAACCAAGATCACCTTCCTTTGCAGTTTTTTTGCCTGAGATAAGATTTCAGACCAAGCCTTTTGATGAGTTGAATATTTGATTCACATCATCTGAGCAGGATAATGAAAGCAGCAGGAGCTTGTTCAGTGTTTCAGTACCCTACCCCCGCACTGTGAAGTGCTCATATCTTTCACCAGTTCTCAGACAATCAATGCAATTATGCCCATTCAACACAACTGACTGGAGACATGGAGATATATGCCCAAACGTAGACAGCTGAATCCATTAAAATAAATGTTATGTTCCATCTGTCCATGAAATGAATAAACTAGTCTAAAACGTTTGTTGACAAAGAACAGAAATATTTTATTAAATTGAAACTGACTGGGATAAAAAAAAAAGAAGCAAGGTTGGCAGACTGCAAGTTATCTGTTGTTCTTTGGTGTGGTAACTTTAGAAAAAGAAAAAAAACACTCCAGAAAGGAATATTAAAATATCAGAGCTGGAAACAATACTGACTGGGCAAACATTAGCTGTTTTAATGACAGACATCAAAGCATATGGAGCAGCATCCTGTTTCCTCTTTATTAGTTTTCCTCTGACAGTGTAAGACAACAGAGGCATCAGTCAACAATCGTAGGTAAATTACAGCATTTAAAATTTGGTGCGTCTTTAGAAGAACATGTCTTGGAAGAGGTTTTGTCCCATCTCAATGTATGCCTCCTTTTCCTGCACAGACATCTGCTCCACCAGCTCAGGCCTTTGGCTCACCTCCCTGTATGAGAACGGCCGACCTCCCACCATCACCATCGGCTCATCCCCTACTTCCTCAAAGTCATCGTCGTCATCCTCTTCAGCAGCACGATGCTGAGAAACTGTGGCAGTAGTAGGACCTGACGGGAGTTCGTCCTCTGATTCACTAGTGTCACTCTCTGAGTCACTAGCATTAGCTGTTGCAGAGGCAAGACCCCTGGCAGCGGCACTCGCTCCGCCCACACCTGCTCCTGCAACAGCCTTCTTCTCGTGGATGAGCAGGGCGCGCATCACTTCCTCATTTTCATCTGCCTGGCCTGCTCCGTGACCAGCCGCACCATCCTGAGAACCGGGTACAGCGTTGCCACCTGTAGAAACCGAAATGGAAAATGTAAAAATTTCCAGGTCTTTCAGATTTGAGATAATAATTATTCATCCACAGCAGCTATAAGCCTACAACTCTTCATTATGACAAATCTTTATAAAAGTAAAATACAAAGCTATTCAATTTGGTCACTTCTCTAGGCCTACAACACATTCAAAAAGGAGCAGAGAGGCGCCTTACAGAGGATGTTGGATTTATATAATTTGGATTCTCACTCAGCCATAAACTAATCAAGTATGATTACCTCAATTGAGCAATTAAGCTAAAATAGATGTCTGACCAGGTCTGATTGCGACATGCCCTTGTTTTAAAAAACAATGTCAGCATGTGAATACTCAATAAGGCACCACTTAGAGGGAGAAACCTCAATTAATACATCTTTTTTCACCCCCAACTCCCTCATCTTTAGATTCACTCAAAGCTCTGGTTGAAACATGGTACTGGCAGTATAATACTGCGGGGATGGGATTCCTCGAGATGGAAAAACTTTTGGGTGGTAGATTTATAACACTCTTTTTTTTCCCACTTATGTTAATATTGTGTTTGTGTTATAAGTTTATGCACAAATAAAGAAATGTATTCCACCTTTCCCTGTTTCACTGTGTGTGTGTGTCTGATTTACTTTGAAACCAGATTGTCTGTGTGTGTGTCAGAGTGAACGCAGAGACGTTCTATAGTCTTAAAAAGGAAACACTTTCATTGAAAAATGCGGCGTAAAACCAGGTATTTTTGAGGAAAGAAAAATGTACTCACGGCTCCGAAGAGCTTCAGGCTCGCTGTAAGCACCCTTCACTGTACTCTGAGTCAACCACACAGGCTGTTCCTTAGGGGGTTTGCCTTCATTGATTTGCTTCTTTTGCTCATCCTGCTCTTCCATACTGATGACCACATTTTGGATGTACAAATCACTGTAGGATGATCCTTTGTTAGACCAGGCTTCACGATGTTGTCCACCTGCAGCATTTCCTGCAGCAGCTGCAGCTCGCTCACGACTAAAAGAAAATTAAGAAAGAATTTATAAAAATACATGTAGTCACCTAAAGATTTTTTTTTTTTTTTTTTTTTACATATATGGTATTATAGACCAAACAAAAGCCGGAAAGTAGGACATAACAGGCACATTAATTTCAGTGGATAATTGTGTTCTGACTGGGGTTGTGAGCAATGTGTTGCTGTGAGACTTGTTTCCAACAGACCTCTGTTTGAGAGCAGGGATCTCAGTGGGCTCCGGCTCCAGCAGGTCATGGGACAAGTTAATATCTTCGGTTTCGCGTAGGAGTGCGTAGATGGGCTCGATCTGCTCATTAAAGCGGGCCACAAGTGTTCTGGCATCAGGGCACACCGATTCATCTTCTTCTACCTCAGTCTGACAAAAGGTGCAGCGAAACATACCTGCAGGGAAAGAAACAGAAAAAAAGGCATAGAAGAGAATTAATAACAAGTAATCCATTTTAGCTTCTGTTAAAAGCTGATGTGATGAGACAGATATGATGTTGTGACCATCAAACGGATACACAACAAGGTATTTTACATGGTATGTTTATACAATAAACATAACACTTTGTAAAAAAAATTTAAGAATCACAGAAAGAAAAGGAAATCTTCCAGGCAATTTTTAGAAATAGTGTGCCAGTCTATTCCAAGTCACTTTGTTCATCTTCCTAAAACAAATAACCGTTTCTATTAATCATAAATAGATAACTTTTAAATCCAAGTGTTTACAGCAATTATATTTTCACATTTGGTAAACAGTTGGCAATGGAAATATGGGTAAGGTAAGAACTAAAAAGAACAATGAAGGCATCAACTTAATTAAGAGGAAAATTGATGTTGCAGTAGAGCTGTGGCACAATATTTAAAAATGCTTGACATGAAAAGTGGAACTTCAGGAAATTACAAAAAGATAAGTTTCCTTGCTCTGAAGATGCCATTCTTGGCACTGAAGGCCACAGCGGGGAAGGAGGGAAATGTTTAGTTCAAAAGTTCTGGTTTATTTGATAAACTGCATGTAAAAGCAAGGTCATACGTGCAGATTTCGGTGAATCCAATTAAACAGAGTCCCCCATCATTTTGAGTCCACCAGCCCATTGGGTGCAGGCAATCAAAAAATGTAATAAAAATATAAATAAATCCAGTTACCTCGGAAGTATATTAAGTAAAGCCTTTGCCAGACTTTTTAGTTGAAAAGACAAAAAAAAAAAAAAAAAACTTTTTGGAGTTTTTATCTTTGACAACGAGGCATAAAAACAGGAGAAAAAGGGATGTGAATAAGCCCTCATGCCATCTATGAGGCACAGCAGGGGCTACAACATCAGATAACAAAACCAAACTAATGAGGCAACTTAGAGTCCGATGCTGATGTTTAAGGAATGGAAAAAGGAAACTAAAACCACAAAAAGGTAAACAGGACTGTAGATGAAAACATTTGTGTGCATCAGGTAAATGTTCACACTGTCTAGGAATTTTGTTTAACAAATAAATCAAAGGTTACCTTATCACAGACAGTTAACACTAGCCAGCATTATCTTGTCCATTGTTTTAGCAATAATTTTTTTCATCTAAAGGTCATTGATTTGCCTAATAATTATTTGTTCTTCAATAGTAAGATATTAAAATATTTTGTTTTTCTATCAAAAAGGAATTTTTTATCTCCTATATTGGCAATGACTGATATGTTTTTTCCAGTTTCCTTAAACTTTTTGGATCATGACACCTTATTAATTGGGAGCATAACAGTCATTGTTTATTTTTCAATAAGGTAGACCCTTGCCACAACTACAAGGTCATGTTTACAACAATCCATGAAAAACAATATATCCAACAATATCCAATAATCATTCTGTTAAAACATCTACATGATATTTGATAATATATGTGTACATGATGTTAGTAGAAATATCAAAAACAAATCGTGTCATGTTTGTTCTTTGAGGCTGAAAAAGATGGACGTATTTATAAACAGCAGTGGTCTAAAAAGATGTCACCACAAATTTATACAGTGCATGTGTCAGAATTTCCCTATAGAGAGTAGAGATTGACCGATATAGGTTTTTATCTAAGGCAGATTATTTTGACGTCAGTCTGACCAATCCCAGATATCTGCTGCCGACATTTTTTTGGTTGCTTCTTAGAGTAGATATCCCTTTTTCTTTTTCCATTTGCATGATAACAATTGACACATTCTACTTAATTTAAACTAGGGCTGAAACAATTAATCGGATTAATCATGATTAAGCGATTATTGAAATAATCGTCAACTAATTTAGTAATCGATTAACTGGAGTACAGAGATTTTAAAACAGGGGTGGACAATTCCAATTCCTGAGGACCGGTATCCTGCAATGTTTAGATGTGCCTTTGGTTCAACACACCTGAATAGAATAATTAGATATTTAAATGGACTCTGGAGGAACCGACTGCATACTGAGGAGGTAACTCAGCTATTTGATCAGGTGTGTTGGATCATGAATGGCTCTAAAAGTTGCAGGATACTGGCCCCCGGGGACTGGAATTGCCCATGTCACTACCCGATTCGTTCAAGAAGCACGACGAAAATGTGAAAAACATCAAAATTGTCTCACAAAAGTCATAAAACATTTTTTAAAGATGTGTGTTAGTTTTCTTTAGTGAGTTAAGGATAGAAATAAGTAGTTTTAGTACCACAATTACATTATTTATGGACACCCAGATGTATATCCATTAGCGCATGTGCAGAACGGATCGTGCTTCCGGGACGGATCGGGAAGTGACAGCCCACCTCTGCTCTAAAACATGCCGTTACCTGACCCACTTAAAACAGTAATCATATCAAAATTGTTAAGAAATATATATATATATATATATATATATATATATATATATATATATATATATATATATATATATATATATATATATATATATATAAATATATTGTATTTAAGATTAAAAAAAATGTGTTTGTTCTGTCAACATGCTCTATCCAGAACTCCTCAAGTGAAAAAGTTTTAGTTTCACCTGCTTTAAATAATAAAAAAAAAAAAAAAATCTTCTATGAGGGACCTTTGGCTATTTGATTAATTGAAATAAAATATTGACTGATAAATTCATGTGCAAAATAATCATTAGTTGTAGCCCTAATTTTAACATAAAAAAATGTATTAACCAATCAACAAAATATTAACACTGATGGCAAATGGCTCCTAACGGGAACTCCAGGCATGGCTGCTGAATGCACTAATGTATCTGTAAAGGAATCCACGAATCAGCTGATACTGAAAAAAAAGAATAAAAATTTAAAGTCAATTTCTAATAGAGAGAGCTTACGATGTTCTCAAGCTCACCAAGACATAGATAAATAAAAGAACTAAACAAATCTTTGCTTTGTTTTCCTTTTATCAACTGAAGTAGACTCCAATACAATTAGGTTCCACATATCTTTGACAAATTGTCAGTAACAAGGTACGAATAAACATCCTGCTCCTTTTAGGAAGCCCAAAATGGAAAAAGTATGAAATGGAATGGGATGGCCAAAATGTAGTTTACTTCATAGCTATTTGAATAAAGTTTTAACATGATAAAGATAATAATTTCACTTTAACCAAGTTCTTAAACCTTCTATCATTCTTAATACTTTCTTAGTAAATCTTTAGCAACATCACACAGTGCCTAATCTTGATTGCAGATTAGTATTCTAGCTGATTGAGGGAGCATATCATAAAAAGCTCATTGGGTACATTAGATGGCTAACTGGTGTTTCCAGCCCTGGTCCTTAGGGAGCCCTATCCTCCATGTTTAAGGTGTCACCTTGCTGCGACTCATCTGACTTAAATCAATGGATGATTAACATTTAAGTCAGGTGTGCGGGAATGGGGACACATCTAAAACATGCAGGGCCATGGTTAGAAACCCCCCGGTTTACCGCTAATGCTCAGTGCCATTTCCCAGGAGCTTTAATGAAACAGATCTAAGGTGAATGTGGAGAAACAGAAATGATCTTCTCAGCTCCCCTCAATATCCTCTACATGACTCTCTTGTTTGCCATATTGCTAGTGGATTATAATCCTGGGATGCAGTAGATCAAAACACTCCAACACAACTCTGCAGTGCTATATATATATATTATTATTTTTTTCCCCCCAACTTGTATATTCAACAGCCTGAGATGTCACAGAAATACAGGTATCAGCTCAACTGCAATGGTATAAAATGTTTTTTTTTTTATATGGTGTAAAGTCAAGGGGCCGCACTCCTGCGGGTCCCACAGCAAACACACGGTTCTAGGATCTGGCATATGCACCAGTCCAGCCTGTCAAAACCCGTATCGCTTACATTGTCATAATGATCCAAAGTATATTATATACAAGTTGCACTCTGACTTTTGATTTTCTTAAATATGCCTTTTTTTAATACAGCTTTGTAAAACAAAACAAGAAACAAGTGAATACCTGTGGTGCATGAAGGCATTATACTAGAGAAAACAAATATAGAATAGTAAAAGGTTGGTTGGTCAAAACGGAAGAAAAAGAATTCAATTGAAAACTTACGTTAATTGTAAATTACACATTTTGTTTTAACTGCATTTTGTTTTTTTTTTTAAGTTCCTTTATTTTGGTTTTGTTCTTTTTCCATCTGAATTAAATTGGGTCTTAAATGAAAACACATGTCATTGTTTCCCAAACATCTGATTGGCTGCTGGGTGGAGCGTTTTCTAGGATTCAGAGCAATGCTGAAAGCTAGCCCGCCCCAGAGCAGAGTACGTTACCATGGTGACTAGCCTTGCTAAGAATGAATACAGCTTTATGGTACTGGACAGTCTCGGTTGAGGCAGAAGTTGTCTTGCTAACCCAGTAATCCACAGGTGGCCTAGATAACCAAATTTTTGCTGTTGTTGAATTCTCTATCTGCTTGTACAATTGAAAGCATTAAATCATATCTTTAACGGCTGTTGTAAACAGTGTGCCCCGCCCCTTGCTTCCCAACAGTTAAGAGGACATGTCTGACCATCTGCTTCTCCTCCTGATCTCAGTTTCAATAACTGGAGCTGTTCCAACATTAGCACAGACCTCATGCATGCTTTATCCCTTTGTGTACGTTGGAGAGATAGAACCAGATACAGAGTGAATGCTCATTTTGGACATTTGGTGAAGGGAAAAAAATATAATTTTGCACAGACTAAATATGACTAAAATAACTTCTGAGAAAACCAAGTCTTTAAATATTAGTGAAAGCTTTTTTGTATGGTTTTTAAAGACGAACATGCAGAAAGAGAGGTTAAAAATGCTTATATCTGTGTCATTTAAACAAAGACAATCTAAAGGGAAACAAGGACAAAAAATGAGGGAAGAGAAAGACGTGTTTTGTTAGAGCTGCAGGGTTCTGGCTCTTCACTGAGGGTCAGACTGAGACTGAGCTGAAAGTCCAGCACTGTCACTTCCCATCCTTATGGGATCCCACTGAGTGTTGCTGGCTCCGCTGAGGCAACCAGTCCATCAGACTCTAATGTGAGATCTGGCTACTTGATCCTAACAGCCTTTTATGAGTGCCTTCACAACAGTAACAGATGCAGAAATAGCTAAAGAATTGTGAGGATGCTGTAAAAAACACCAGCTAAATGATAAAGGAAACTATGAAAAGGTCCCCCCTCCCACAAAAAACAAAACAAAACAAAAAACTAGACCTTCGATATGAGTGCATACTAATTACAATCACATAAAAAAAGGAAACAGGCATGGAGTATTGATCTTTGAGAGGGACTTAATGTGTGTTATTATTTAAGAGTTTTACACAAAAGTCACAATAATATCTAATTTAATGTGTTTTGATTCATTATCTGTAAAAACTCTTTTTTGTCGAAAAACATAAACATAAAACAGCTACTGAATATTATAGTTTATCAAATTTTTTTAACAAGTATTTCGTACAGTTTTAACTAAGCTGATGTTTTAGTTAACATTACCATCAGCTGGACTAAAAAAAATAAATACATCTTTTAAAATGCTGTTTGAAAAAAAAAAAAATCTATTTTTTTTAATCCATTCAATTCTTTTTATTGCTGCTGTGATGCTGTTCTTTCTAAACAAGCATAAAATTGATGTGGTATGCGAACATTTCTTGACTGCATAATAAATGATCAAATAGGAATGTCCTGTTGTGTTTGTTTACATGCAATGAAGAGGAAATGACAGAGGATATTGCTTAAGGAATCATTAAATTCCACTGTGAAATATTTCAGATGCTACTTTTTCCAACTAAAATTTAAGGCCGAAGGAGAGGGATAGATGAATGGCCAACTCAAGGAAATTACATTTGACTAATATGAAGCTGCTGATGATTCTATTTGCTATGAATTTAACTGTCATTTCAACAATTATGCAAATTGACAGTATATCTGGAAGGAGATCTGGGTTATTTGAATAAGCTTTTGTAAGCAATAAGCAGCACTAATATATAACTACATTTAGAAACATTTTCCTGGTTTAATTTAATTATATACTTAAAGGAAGACTTGTCTGTTAGAAATATATCTACGAAATACACCTTTAAACTACCTGCTTTTTGCTTGAGGGGCAAAAGTTATAAGCACAGCGAAATAACTGGACCTCATTCTCAGACTGTTGGAAAATTTGAATGTGATGCTTTATGGGTAAAAACCACTTCAAATAAGGAAAACAAATTCCTCTCAGGGAAAAATAAAAACGTATATATATAATAAATCAGTACAGTGAAAAATACATTATTTGTTTCTTGCCCCTACACAAATGATTTATAATTTTTACTGGTGCAGTATTACTTAGCAGCATAATTGGACAGAGTGTGATTTATAAGAAATGTGAATTATAAGAAATTACCTTTACAACATTAGTTGATGCCATTATTTTTTATTGCAAGATCAAATACCCATAACAAGGAACCTGTGAAAGTATCTGAACAGCTTTCAAAGGAGGCCATAGTGATTAGCCACACAGGATAAGGAGATCAAGCAACTGTATATAAAAATCTACCACAGATAGTGTTGCAGTTTTCACTGTTTATCCACCAAGAGGTTCACAGCTACATAAAATAGGAAGAAGCTTTAGTAATGCAAGAACTAAAATTCTGTTTAACTTGTTTTTTCTCCCCCATGAGCTGTCAGATACAGCAGGTCAGCCACCACTGCAATACTTTAAACACGTGCTTTCACTGCCATCTAGAGGCAACTAGATGGCAGTGCCTCTAAAAAAAAAAGGAAATAATCATGCCTGTGTCAATTCTCAGTCATCTGGGTCGTTAAAAAACAGAACAGATTTAAATTGTAGACAATTTACTGTCAGACATGGACTGATATAGTCTAACTTTTTGGATACATGACAACCATGAAGAAGCATGATAAAGAAAATCATTAAACAGTACCTTGTAGCATCAAAGATAAATAAAAATTATCTTTATCAAAAAGCATCAATTTCACTCTTATGTTATAAAGTCATTTGATTATAGAAACTGTATTTAACTCTAAATATCTTTGGTGATTTGTGTTTGTGAGTTTTTCATTGTTCGACATCACAAATAAAAGAAGACAGGAGAAGGAAAAAATATTGTAATCTCCTTTATAGTAGTTTGTTAAACCAGGAAAGAAAACCCAAGAGCACCAGTAATAGAGGTTATCAACATTTGACATTTAATTGCAAATAACCTCTGTAGGATTGCTACTAAAATTTATACTCTACCCAATACTCAGGAAAACCCTTGAATGCATCAACATTTTAGGCGGGCAATCAACAAGCATTTGATTAATTACATAAAAAATATTTAAACTTCCTGGATAAGGGTAAAACAGTAGAGAACAACTGAGCCCTCATTTAATAACAATATAAAAATATCAAATCCCTGTTTGGCAAAACAGTAAAGATAAAATGTAGTTACATTGTCAATAACCATTATAAAACTTTTTAAATTTGATTTAGCTGTATAATTAATTATTTCACCTTTATTTTTAAAGGACCACTGTTTGCTGATGTTTGTCCAGGAGCTTGCCATTGATACAAATAATAGTTTCTTTTTACTCTTGAGGGATAAATAGAATTCTGTTTTACAATAAACTATGTTTTGTTTAAATAATCATGGTTATGAAAAAACAAAACAAACATATTTTTAAAAGAGTAAATGAGGATCTGCTCCATAATGATGTATCCAGTAGCAGCATTGTACAATTTCTGTCTTTCTGGTAATATTCTTCAGTGATGAGCTACAACTAACTGTTAGCTTCCGCTTGGCTCCCTCATTTCCTTGTGTAATTATCACCTATATTAGCCTTCATTGCTTTTATAACTCAACTATTTAGACAAACCTACTCTGCAGAAAGAATGTTTCCTAAAACTGGCAAACCACTTTCTGTTTTTCAAGTGTAAAGAAAAAGAAGATAAGAGATGCTGCAAGTCACCTGTCATAGGATCGAAAAGCTGATTGGCTTCCAGATCCGTAAAAGTGGAGAAGCAGCAGGGGCATCTGAAGGAGGCCCGGTTGGTTGAGTCCCGCTCGTCTGTCTCAATTCGTCGTCGCATGTGATCCAGCTTGTACTTCACTACATTAACCAGCACCCTAAACAAAAATAAAACGTGTTTTCTGATTTATGCACAGTTAAATGAAACATAACTATGCGAAAAAGATAAAACTACTGTGTTAAACCTGTAGTTAATGAAATAGTAGTTGTGGCGGGTTGTCTTGCCATCAGGCGCCGTCTCTACTCTCATTCGGCACTTGACAAACTTGTCTGCCTTTAGGGTGTTGAGCACAGAACGCAGCTGCTTCCGGTCGAACTTTAGGAGCTCCAGCATGTCCTCCTCTCTGACACATGGGTTACGTATCAGTACGTCCAGAGCTAAGGCATGTTCTATTCCATAAAAACCCCTTACAACCTGCTTAGCAAGCCGCTTCAGAGCTGCTGGGACTTCAGTTAATATCTCTGGTTCAATCATTGTTAGCTGTGAAGGAAAAAAAATATTGTGATTTAAATATGCTAACAAAACATGCTTGATAGAGATGTTTTAAAACACATTGTAACTAGGGGAGGCTAAAACTACCACATGAAGAGTTCTGGATAGAGCGTATTGCATTTCTTGTACAATTTTGGCATAATTACTTGTCTGAGTGGGTTATACCTTCAGGAAAAGGCATGCTTTAGCACAGTGATCTAAACAAAAACATCTAAGCACAGAATCTTGCAACTGTTGGTTCTGTTCTTTGCTCTACACACCTGAATCCATTAGAATCAATCCAGCTCTGCTAATGAGCTCATATTGGAGGCAGAGATGCGTATAATAGTTGCAAGAGACCAGCCTTCGAGGATTGGTGAGACCACAATAGTAACTGATTATTTCAATAATCAATTGCTCTGATCCTCTCAGTTTCTTTCACTGCAGTATCTTTCAAACTGTGTCCCTTTATTGCACCCATTGTTTGAGTCAGGTGTGTGGAGGCTGTAATATACCTAAATATGAAGGGTAACCCCGTTTAAAAACCACTATTTTAAAGAAACCACTGTCATAATGGAAAAACCTTGATCAGTTCTGTTTAAAAAATCCTCAAACTGATTACTTTTTATTTTACATGACCTGGCAATGCTACATTGAGCACTGGCGGTAACAGGATTTAAGCTAAGCGTCTTTTAGCCAAGAAAAGTCACATAAACGTTGTAGTAAATATCTCGTGACACTTGTTTTGTAAACCACTATCGTTTTTTATTTTATTTTTTTTTTATTTTATTTTTTTATCAGTCTTTGCAAAACGTACTTCAAACATTTTAGTTCAATAACACAAGCTAAGTGTTTACCTCATGTGAACTACATTTATTAAAGTTCGTTAGCTTACCCGTTAATCTTCCCGTTTCACAAGTTGGACAAACTGGAATGTTTTTTAAGCCATTTCAGACTAAAGTCACCAGATCATAGTGTGAAAAATAAACAGAAATCAATCAATATTCTAGACATCAGAAGGTTTTAGTTGCTAAACTTTGCTAATGCGTTACAGAATTTATCGCGAGAACGTAACCCCGGAACTAAAACTATGAGTAGGATGCCCATTGGTCAGAAACGTCGTTGGATGAAGAAAGGTTTTAAAACTAGCCAATCAGCGTAAAGAGAATGGTCTTCAAGGCGGGGATTTGTTTTGGTCCTTCCGGAGGGTGCCTTCGTCATTAGAAATGGCTTCTCTTGACAGAGTAAAGGTGTTGGTTTTAGGAGATTCAGGTAAGTTACGCTTCATTTTACAATCTAAACACTTATATATATGCAGTACTGGTCAGCATGCATTACCTTGTAGACTTTTTTTTTGGTTGCTTGAAAAACCGTTAACGTCTTAATGTAGAGTTTAATGTAGAGTGCATTATTTGTGGATTCCTGACTAGTAGACAGTTGAAACTAATCATAGTTTCATCTTTCGATATTAAATATATTCCTTTCTGTGCCATTATATTTAAAAATCACTAAAATGTGCGATTCATTTTGTGTTAACAGGCATTCAACCACAAAAATTAAAGTTGAATCTTGTCAAAAGCTTAATAACAAATAATAACTTGATAATGATAATAGCTTAATTGAAATATGATTGATCTTTGAACATTTTATATCTTAATGTTGAAAAATAGAAGTTGTATGACTTTGCGAGATGGAGGCAGTCAGAACGTTTTTCTGATATGCACTATATTCAATTAAATGTTTGTACATTTTCTATAGAAAAATATCACTTAAACTTTTAACATTTCTTCTTATTTACAGGGGTCGGAAAATCATCCTTGGTGCATCTAATATGTCAGGGTCAGGTTTTAGGAAATCCATCTTGGACTGTCGGCTGTTCTGTAGATGTACGGGTAAGCACCATTAAAAACACAAACCCTGTCTTTTAAATCATGTGGAATAGTACTGTTTGCCTTATTTGGATTTAAATGGGTTACATTTCCCTGTATAATTTTAAACAGAAATAGTTTTATTGACTATGTTTATAGTCATTAATATTATGCATTAACATGCTATGATATTTTTGTCTTTAAGATGCTCTATTCTAACTTTAAGATACAAAAACATAAAAATTCTATCAACTTCTATGCTTGTTTTTTTGTTTGTTTTTATCCAACACACCTTCTAATGATATAATGTTGACTGTAGTACTATAATAACACAACATCTCTAATTCAAATTTAGGTTCAGGATTACAAAGAAGGAACCCCTGAGGAGAAAACCTTCTACATTGAACTCTGGGATGTTGGCGGATCTGTTGGCAGTTCCAGCAGTGTTAAAAGCACCAGAGCCGTCTTCTACAATTCAGTAAATGGTGAAAACAAAAAAAAACAAAAAACTTCTTTTCTGGTTCAGAGCTAAGAAATTTTATGAAGATAAGTTAGTTTTTTTCATCTTATGCTGTTTCTTGTTGCTTTGTAGGAATCATATTGGTGCACGATTTAACAAATAAGAAATCTTCCCAAAACCTCTACCGGTGGTCAATGGAAGCTTTGAATAAGGATTCCTCTCCAACAGGAGTCATTGTCTCAAATGGGTTGGCTTTGATTTTTTATTTTTTTTTACAATAAGAAAATTTCTTAACGTTTATCCATGCAATAAGCTCCTGCCAGTGTAGCATTAAATGCTTTTTTGTTTTTTATGTTCATCTGAATGCAGTGACTATGACAGAGAACAGTTTGCTGAGAACACGGTGCCTTTGCTGCTGATTGGAACAAAGTTTGACCAGATTCCAGAGAACAAACGCAGTGAAGTTCTCACTAGGACGGCCTTCCTCTCTGAAGATTTTAATGCAGAGGAGATCAATCTTGTAAGTTTCTGTTCTTAAATTGAACTTTAGCATTAAAAGAACAGATGTTGCAACACCTAGCTCTTTAAACAATGGTAAAATTTTATAGTTGTTTGCATTTCTTATGATAAAAAACAAAATTTATTGAGTTCATTAAACAACAGATTTTACTGTATGACTTGTTTCTTTATGCTTTGAAAAAGATATAATAAAATCAAATAATTGCCCCCCTGGTTAAAGTTGCAGTTTAAAGTGTCCTCTGTGTTTAACACAGCCCAGTGGCTGCTTGCCATGCCTGGGGAACATTGTGAGGTTAATGGTCTCAGAAACCACAGTGTCACAGACTGAGGTTAATTTTTACACCCTCCTCAGGATGTAAATGCCCCTCTCTCTAACCACCAGGCTGCCAGTCCACCACCTAGGAAAAAATAAATCTGAAAATATTTTCATGTCTAAATGTTGAACTTTTTTTTCCAGGACTGCACAAACCCAAGATACTTTGCTGCAGGCACATCAAATGCTGTGAAACTTAGTCGATTTTTTGATAAGGTGAGAAACCTAAGTACTGTAATGCACACATGTGAGCGGAATTATTGGCACCCCTCGTTTACTGATCACACAATCGTGACAGAAATAGCTTGAATCTGATTAAAGTAAAAATAAATAACAATTCTATGAAAGTGAACAAAAGAAAGCCAGATTCTGATTTCTAACCACGCTTTAATGGAAGAATTAAAACAACTAGACTCATGAAACGGGCCTGGACAAAAATAATGGTACCGGTACCCTTCATTTTATTCTTATGCAATACCTTTTTAGGCAATTATTGCAATAAAACAATTCCTGTAACTGTCAGCTAGCCTCAGGTAATTTGTCCATGTGTTTAATCTTAAATTATGTGAAGGCCAGCCCTTTTAGGACACCACAACATCATTGTTCTAAGTCTACCTAAGGCTTTCCTATTATTTTTTTTCCTAAAAGAAATACATATTCTTACAAAAGAAAGTTGATACACAAATATAAAATGTAGTTGTTTTTTCTATAAGAGCTAACAGTTTAAACTGAAATTCCAGTTATTTTTATTCATTATTACTGTTGCAGTAACCAAAAAATATTTGAACTCTTGGCAGGTAATAGAGAAGAGATACTTCACCAGAGATTCAAGTCAGGTGGGTTTTACTTTCACTTTTACTGTTTGAACTTCAGAAATAATATTTTCTAAAACCACAACCCTTTTATGGGATTAACAGTAATTTTCTTTTTTCTAAAAAGGACTCGATATAAATGTTGAACTTAAACTTAGCTATGATTTTCTTTCATATCTCTGCAGATCCCAGGCTTTACAGACAGAAAAAGGTTCAACTTCAAAAGTTTGCACTATGACTAAGTTCCATGAATGCAACATTGGTGGTCTGTGGTTTTTATCATCACATCTGTGGGTTGTAGTGCTAGAGTTTACCCCCTGAAGCTATCGACAAAAACAACCCCTCCTCCATCTCTCTCTCTCTCTCTGTGGATTATATTGTATTTAGTTGATCTAAATGTAGAAATGGAAAGAATATATAAATTCAGGTGAGGTACATTATTAAAGAGTGCTTTTATTGTAAATGGCAACATATATTTGTATTCTGTCATATGCAAATCATCTACATCTTAATGTTTTTCTAAAGCTAAAATTTCTAATGGTTTTCTTTGCACATTCTAAGTAACGCATTTAACCAGATTGCTTCATGCCCGCATCACCTCCTTGATCCATGGCAGGAAGTAATGAACTTTAGTGAAAACATGTGGATACTTTCGATTATCACATTTTTCTTTGAAAGTAAAAGCTGTTATGCCTTGAACCCTGGTGTCACAGATGAGAGGTCCACCTGAATCCCCCTAAAAAGAGAGACAAAGGAAGAGTTTATCAGGGCTTTAAAGGGAAACAAACCTTTTTTCTGTTTTGTAGAAATATATATATATATATATATATATATATTTTTTTTTTTTTTTTTTAATATTTTCATTCACTGTATACCCAGTTGATTACCTGACATACTCCTCCCTGCCAAAACTTGGTGCAGATCATTAGCTGGGAATTGAAAAACTTTCCCCAAATATTTTTGCACTCAAAGCTGAATTGGATCTTCTCTTTGGCTTCCCTCAGAAGATCTGAAACTTTTTCATCAGAGCTAGTTTTTTTTCCCCAGCCAGCTACATCACAATTCAAGTTTGCATTAATTTCCTCATTTTCTTTTGCTAATGCAATTGTCTTCACATACTGGTTGAGCTTGGCCTTTTTTTCCAACTGTGAAGAGAACACATTATAGAGAACATTGTAACATTGAAAGTAGAATTGATGTGAAATAAAAAAAAAAAACAAATGTTCAATTTTGTGTCAAGTTAGCATGTTTTTTTTTTTCATGTTTTCAAAAATATTTTACCATTTGTTGGCACAAATATTTGATTAGACTGAATCTCTAAATTTACTAAGCACTGTTAACATTTCAGATTTTATATTTTATCACTTCAAACATTTCTAAACATTGTTCACCTTAAAATTGACACATCGCAACAGAAAAACAGACGTCTGTCAGCCTGTGGTAAATATGGTTGCCCAATAAGAGGTATATTAATGCAAGTATTTAACAGTACGTACCAGGATACAAAGTGGCTATAAAATACTAAATACAGACTCTTGTGTCAGTGAGAGATCTAATTAAAAAAGTAAATTGCTGCTTGAATATAACTATTAGTTCTACATTTTGGAACCACCAGCCTCTGTCCTAATGGCAGATATTGAAGGAGACGTTCAGGATGCTTAAGCTTTACAGACCATTTTATAGTCTGATTGAGGTCAATCTTGTTATTGCCAAATTAAATGGGTAAGAAAAGGATAAATAGATAAAAACTAGTTCTTTTGTAGAACCACTTTTAGTTTTAATCTCAGTATTCAGTTTTCTTTAATGGGAGTTTATCGTTATCCCACATTTGGGCTTTGCTATATTTGCATAAGCATTCTCAATCTTTTAAAATTGTGATAACACCTACCCATTTACATCTATATTCAGGTGACTCCCTTAGTTTTCATTCTATTACATTTAATTCAAGACTCACAAGGACACTTTTAATCTTTCAGCTGTTTTTTGATATTTGAACTTGAACACATACTAGGAGTCCCAGTCTTTCCAAGTAATGTCTAATAGAACTGAACTGGTATTGAGCACTACTGTGAAAGATGGACATCCTGATGGTAAAGAACATGGTAGAGCAAGTTCAGGCAGCAAGTTGTAGGGTATTTTGCTGCATGAAGGGTTTGTTGATTTTACAGAATAGATTTTATAATATAATGAACTGAGTTTTTTTATGTTTGGTTTTGAAATAAGTGAGTGAAATTAAAGTAAGATACCACAAACCATGTATTTGTAGAGAATTATTTCAATTAGGACCCATTGTAAAATGTGTTACATGAGTTTACCTTCAGTAGCATAATGTCGTATTCATACTCCTCTTTGGATTTGTATTGTGGATGTACATGGTACTTCTTCACTTGTATCTTTTGCTGACTTTCCTCCTTCTTGCTAATGTTATGTGCCCCAAGTACAACCGTGAAGTCTTGGTAACAACTAGTAAGCAAAAATATATGTTTTATGGATAATTGATAAGGAACTTGTATCTATTTGAAATATCCTTAAAGGTACACAGAAATAACATGTCATTATTTTTAAATATGCACATTTGTACTGTTTCCAGAAAAGACTCACTCCTTGCAGTGTGCTGCAGTCAGAACATAGTCCTGACGAATAAGCATTCCACCACATACATGTTGACCTTGAATTTGTAGCGATGCCATGTAGGGTCTGGAATGTGGTCTTGCCACTGTGCCACCTGTTATACCGCTCTCTGTTGCCCCTTTAAATGAAAAAGAAATGTGATTTTTATTTTATTATTATTTTTTTTTTGTAATAAAACCTTTTTTGTAATGACGAAAAAAGTCTAGCCGAATAAGTTTTGTTTTTCATTGAGAGAAAAAAGAAAAAGATTTCTTACCACAGATTGTGATTAAAAGAAGGACGTAAATGATACCACCTGTGTGTCGCATTGTTGCAGGAAAAGGATGAATCGTTTAGTTTGCAGAGCCCCCTCACCACCTTTTGTAACCAGCCTCAAAACTCACAAACGGAAACCTGGTGGGGAGGTGTTGAAGAGGTTCATGCATTAGTGTAATCACACCTATCTTAAGTGCTACTTCTCTGAAACACGGCATGATTACCATAAATGGTCAGGAAATGTCCCAACAGGGATATATTTTTTTCTTCAATTAGTGTTTTTTTTATAAAATATAAATGATCACATAGAAATAAGTATTTTTATCACATATACAAAACTACTTTTTTAAATTTTGATAGGCAGTTTGCAGTTTCTAGGCTACGCTATTAATGAAATTTCTTTGATACAGATTTCTGCTCTGATTAAAGGCAGGATGTTTGTTTTATTTGGTTCACCTTTGAAGTGAAGGTGTTTTGGCCCAGCTGAACATAGAAACCCCAACTTTAAACCACAAACTTTCCTTTTTTCTATTGATCATATTTTTTTGCCAGAGGGTTTTTATTGTATAACTTTCTTTTGGGATTTAAATCTTGGTAACTTTTTAAAAAAGGTTTTTACATAAATAGAAAACGTAAACTACAAACATGGGTTAAACTCATGTAAATCATTGACTTCGCCTAAAAAAAAAAACAGTATAACACAGAGCTTAGTGTTATACCACAATGAACCAACACAATCTACTCTTCCTATGCGACACAGTTTACTTTGGTTAACTGACAGGGGTAAGAACTTTTACACTTTAGACCTGCCTTAGTGGTTGCATCCTGTTTTATCTAACTTTTTGTCATCCAATTATTCTATTGCATCTGCCTAAGTAAAATTATTCAGTAGGTTAGATGAGTAAGTAGCTAATCAAGCACTGTGGTACCATGGTCATTAAAGTGGGTAGGAACAGTGTGTGTAAGTCCTGCTTGCACATTCATAAAGCTTATCAGCATAAGGAAGAGTGCCCTAAATCTTTCTGTTAATCATCTGCACTTAATTTGGAGTCAAACTAACAGTAAAAAAACACAGCCTGATGACATGGCTCCCCATATAAACACAAGTTTATTAACTTTATATTAAGCCTTTTTCATGACCGAAAACAGGGGCATCCAGCTATGTATAAAAAAAGACAGTCTATCCAAGACAAAAAAAATTGCACTGACCAACAAATCTCAGCTACAAATTGCTAACTGTAGCCAAATCTCTTGCACAAGGCACAGCATATGACAAGAAAGGGACACAGTCGAGAACAATCACCAGAACGGTCACTTTGCACATGGCCAAATACATGATGTCCATATTGTAGAGAAGAAGGTTTTTGTTAACATGATAAAAACCTTAGACCCATATATGAGCTACATAACAAGTACTTCAAGCAGGTGGGAGAAAAGGCAAAAAAAAAATAAATAAATAAAAACAAATCTGTAATTTCATTTTAAGGCCTTATCACCCAGCACTACTTTACATTGGACCTCAGGACATGTGGCCTATTTTTCTCTTCTCTGTTCTTCCAGTCTCCAGACCCATGAATTAAAAAAAAAAAAAAAACTGAGTTAGTTTTGTCAAAACAGCATCTTTGGATCATGCAAAAAAAAGTAATTTGTGGATATAGCTCGGGTAACGCTTGCTTTGATTCATGGCATGCAAGTGTCGTAGCACATTTCCAGGTTACGTTTGTGTGTGGTTCGCTTAAAGCTCAGATTTCAGCTCCTTGTGAGTACCTTTTGAATCTTCTTCAGACTAGTGCATTTAGTTGGACATTTATTTGGCTTGTGTCAAAAAAGACAAGACTAACATTTCCATGACTTTTGACTTTGTACAGCTGTCGCTGTATAGGAAACCAGACCACAAACTGTGTTTTGTAAAATTAACTGAAGATCCAAATAGATTCACGGAGCCGAATCACAAGTCTTAGTAAAATTACTACATTAAAATAGCAATAAAAAATGTTTTAATCTTTTTATATGCCTAATTAAAAACAGATATAAAACATTCATTTTGGTTTCTCTATCATTAATCCACTTTGTTCCAAGAAGTGTTATTGTGCTCATTTTCTTTGCTGGTTTTTAGTTATTTTTACCTTTATTTATGTAGCTTAGACTACATAAGCTAAAATTTTCCATTTGCATTTTGCAGTCTTCTTACCATAAATATGTTTCCTCCAACACCAGAATCTCTTTGGTCAAACTGTACCTGTCTCTGAATTGATATAATTTTTTCCACCTAATATCCCAAAATTAGCCAACAAATCCATTACTTCAATCAACAAGTACTGAGTTCCACACATTTCAGACCCAATGTGAAGCTTTAATAGTCTATTCTTCTCTGAAAACATGAAGTAATTAGATGTTGTTCCCTTTCTCCCTGATGGTGCTTCAGGAGTCTAAACACCAAAAACGTATCCCCATTTGGTCAGTGACAAATCTCTTGGCGAATGACAAACACTTTCAGCATCACAAAAACTAAAAACTAGCTGATCAAAAATATAACTCTTTATATAACATTTGCTTTAATGCTGGAGATGTTTAAACAAGGAGGTAGTTAACTTTGCCTTATTGACCCCAGACCAGAATTTCTGAATGATTTTTTTTTTTTTCTGTAATGCAGAATTGGTGAAAAATGCAAATATAGGACAACAAACTCCCAATCAAGCTTATTCACTTTAAGTACAGAGAAGTTTTTATTGTTCTGTTAAAAATATATTTAATTGAAACTCTAAACTTCACTTGTATTATTTTATTCTATACTCTCACTCATAATTACTGTATGTATGGGCCTGTCTGCCATTTTTGAATAACTTAAGGGCCTTGGCAGCTCATGTAGATAAGAAACGGCCAAGGGTCAAAGTCTTAACAGTTCTCCACTTCATCATGGCCATCAGGTTTGTTGCCCTAATATTAATTGTCTCTGGCCTGAGATAGAGCGTGTAACTCATGGTGAAATTGTGCAAAATTAATATAAATTCCCACTGTCCCTGTTATACACAGCTCTTATGGCGTCTTTGTTGTACATTACGAGTGTTTGGGTTTGATAGTGATAGCTTCTTGCAAATATTAAACTTTTGGTTAAAAGCTGGTCTCAGTGATTCTGTCAATTTAGAAGATTTTAGATGGTAAAAAATAATTAACCAGACTAACTTATTCATGGAGCAGCATAGGTTACTTTTTGTATCCTGCTTAGGTCACTGGGGGTAGCGCTGGAATCAACTAAGTTTGCTTTAGTGTTTGTGGTTGGACCTTTGCGTCTGCTGTTTTCAGCACAGGTACTCAGAAAAAAAGCCGTATGACTACCATTTTCAAAAAGCTGCTGTGTGAGAAACAAAGAGGTTGAAAATCTTCTTGTCTGAAGAGTAAAGTTTCCCTCAAAGAATAAAGAGGCATTTTTTATGAAGCTTTATTGGACATAATAATAATTCCTATGGATATGCAAAACAAAAATTGCAAAACCTCTATACTATATATTTTTTGTTTTTATTCTTTTTTAAATGTAAATATTTCTCCTGCTCCCTTGGCTAATTAGGTCATATGTCTTATTTCTCCATCATCTTGTTGATCCAGGGGAGAAAGAAGCTAACTTTGGTGAAAACATGTGGGTATTTTGGATTGTCACATTCATTTTCAGCAGTGAAAGCAGTAATTCCTTGAAGCTTGTTTTTACAGATCAAAGGGCCCCCAGAATCACCCTAGAAAAAGAGATGAAGACCTGGATTATATTTTTAGAAAAATACAATAAAGAAAAAAAAAATGCAAACATTCGTTCACTGTTTTTATGCATCAAAATGGAATGTATGTGATGTTTACCTGGCATATTCCTCCCTTGTTCTTGTTAAACTTGGTGCAAATCATTCGCTGAGAGGTAAAATGTTCTTTCCAAACTTGATCACACTCAATCTTGAATTGTGTCTTTTCTGTTCCTTCTTTCAGAACAGTTGAAGTAGGTTTATTTCGTCCAGTTTTGCCCCAGCCAGCAACAAGACACTCCAGGTAGGCAGGAATTTTCTTATCTTTCTTTGGTAACTCAATAGGCTGGACATTTTTATTGAGTTTAGCATTATTTACCAGCTGTAAAACGAAGCACAGATACCTTAAACCTCTGCAGTTACATCAACTTACATTTTAGTTTTACTTGTGATTCAGAAAATTTTTTTTGTCTTGTCAAAGTTTATTTCAGTGATACTTTGAAAAACGGAAATGACTAAGTGTATATCAAATAACATCTATTTCAGTTATAAATGTACAAAATGGAAATAATTTAGAAAATAGATTCCTTGTACAAAGCAACAAATGTTTGTATTTCCTTATAGTTTAAAGCAAATTAAAATTCCAAAATTTGTCTTTTGACTGATTGATTGACTTCATGAATGGATATTTATATAAATAGTTATTGCACTGGGTGTCAAATATAGAGAGACGGGTTATTGCACAGGGTTTCAAACCTACTTCAACTCTTTAGCATGGCAACTAATGTGACAGATTTTAAAAAGGATGTACGGTAGTCATGTAATGTCCTACACATAGGAAAATGGTAAATGTCCTGTACTCATATAGGCATTTTTCAAGTCAGAGGACTTGAGCAAAGCCCTTAGTATTACATTCAGTCATTCATCCATTTACACACACTGATGCTGGCAAGCTACATTATAGCCAAAGTTGCCCTGAGGCTCACTGACTGAAGCAAGACTGCTGAACATTGACGCCGCTAGACCCTCCGACCACCATCAGTAGCTAATTGAGGTGAAGTGTCTTGCCCAAGGACAAAACGACACTAAAAGCCAGAGCCGGGGCTTGAACCGTCAACCGTCCTTCAGCAGATGCCACTGTCACCTCGGAAAACTGACTTCACTATTGATATCAATAAGGAGTATTAGCCAAAAGATAATTGGTAAAGAACCTAACTTTTAACAGTATGTGAATATGGATGGAAGCTGGAGTGGAGGAAAAAGATGTGTTTTCAAATTCAACAGGCGTTGACCATTAGATTTAATAAGATTATCAAACAAGCCCATTCAGTAATAGGGGGCTTTAACAAGGTGAGGATTGTTGCTGTGGTCAGTGCTTTAAGAAGACAGATTTGTCAAGAGCAGAGGTTACATCTGTCGTATGTTTTGTATTAAGCCTTTCTTAACAGCTGACATCGCCAAAAGCACCTTATCTTAGTAAAGGCAATAATGGAAGAGATTTCTGCTTAGGGGTCCTAAATGCTCTTCTTGGATGAAACTAAATTGTACATTTCATGTAGAAATCAAAGTCCCAGAGACTGCAGGAGGAAAATCACTGTTCCACTGATGTTTTCAGTTCTGTTGAGAACCAGTAGGGGTTACTCTGTCTTCTCAAACCCTAATTTGGTCGTGGCAGAAGACTGTTCACTCTGGGTAAGGATCCTTTGTAGGTTTCTTCCTGTTAAAGGAGAGTTTTCCTTTACACTGTCCCTACATGCGTGCTCTGTATAAGGAATTACTCCAAATTCAAGGAAACAATATAAGCGATTTTCCACTGTCACTAAATGTTAATTCCCAAGGAGGGATTTCTTGAAGATAATGACTCAGTGCAACCTCCTGGGTTTCCTTGCTTTATTCATTCTGACTAAAATGAATGAATTTTTCTAAGTTGACTTTTTCCCTCTTCTCTTTAGTTTCAAGCTTTATAGAGATAATGATTTTCTTTCTACGAGCACATGGGGGCAACTAACCCTGTCAATGCACTACTACCTCTTTTAATGACCATCATATTGCTGAGCAGGGCTGGCCAGCAAACTGTCCTAAACCCCACAGGGAAACCTTTTTTGACTGATGAGACACTAATAAGCCCACTGAACACAAATACTCCACCGGACAAGGATAGAGTTTTTAATAGAAGGACATCCTTCCATTCTCCACTTATCTGTCATGGGGGGCTTGTGCTGATTCCCAACAGTCTAAACGAAAGGATGGTTTTGTAGGGTCTTAACATCAAAATTAATTGAAATACACACAAAATATGTATTTTGTTAATGAAATGTGTGTATACATTAAGATGTCTACTTTACTCTCAAAAAGAAAATGCTTGGGGTCAAGCAATGGTGCAGGTTAAGTGTGCAAGCTATGTACAGAGGCGTTGGTCCTCAACACGGCTATCATATCTTCCTCCTTTCTATAAACTCATTTCCTTTCGGCCTACTTTCAAAAATTACAATTAAAGGCCATTAGAGCCTAAAGAATGCTTTATCAAGAACTTTCAATTAGTTTACCTTAAGCAACATAATGTCATAGTCAAATTTTCCGTCATAATTTGGATGCCTGTAGTACTTTCCCACTTTGATCCTTTGCTGACTTTTCTCCTTCTCATTTAGATCATGGGCTCCCAACACAACCTGGTCACTTTGCCATTTGGGGAAAAAAAGCAAAAATTATTCAGCTTTAATTGACGACTAGTGATATGTTTAATAGAAATGTATAATCTACCAGAATTATTTGTTTATTGCACATTATCTAATCAGCATGGCAGCTGAGAAATGCTAAAGATAACATAAACTTTGAGTTTATAATTAAACATACAGTTCACAGTGTGCTGCAGTTAGAACAAAGTCCTCTCGAATGAGTATCCCACCACAAGTGTGGTGTCCTCTGAGCTGGAGTGAAGCCATGTAGGGTCTGGAGTGAGGCCTTGAAATTTTGCCTCCAAAGATGCCACTCTCAGAGGCCCCTTTATGAAGAGGGATCGTCAAATGAATCACAAAAAAAAAAATTACTGCACAAAAATTAATAAATTTGTTTATGAAATGACAAAAAACATGCACCTAATCAAAAGAAAAAGGAAGGATGAAAACATTTCAAGAACACCAAAAGGTTAAGGTATTTAAATCTATACTTACCCGAGAGAATGACCTGGAAAAAGATGAAAATGATGCTCCCTTTGTCTATCATTGGTGCTTTAATAGAAAGGAAGCAAAGTCTGCTTCTCAGGCTGCTTTCACGCCGTTTATCACAGTCAACCAACAAACTGTCACAGCAGAAACTTTGTGGGCAGGTGTCAAAGATGTTGATGCAAGCACAGTCTAGTAAAAGCTGCCATCACACCATGCTCACTATTGCATATGTCAGGAAACTTATCAGAAGACTCTTGAAGCTACAGATAAAATATTTTCTGGTGTAAACACCCTGTTTGAAGTATAGTGGAAATCAAATTTCTACTAGTTCCAAAACCCTTACTTTGTCAGCTCATCACCCTGCAGCATTACCCAAATTCACTTGACATATAGGTGATAAACTGATGCATTTTAGGAAACTCTGGTAAGGAATTTATGGCTCTTCTAAATATGTCAAAGCAGGTACAGACCATCACACTACCACCACCATGTTTGACTGTCAGTATAAGGTGTTTGTTTTTGTTTTTTTTAAAGCTGTATTAGCTTTCTGCCACATAGATTTTTCTATTGTCCGCAATTATTTTGGGGATAATTAAGATATTATTTGGGATTATGAGATAGACCTTTGTGAATTTTCGGTCAGCACGGTTATGTGGTCAGGAAGACTGTCATCATTTGACATTTTTATGTGAACCAACAAAAATTGATCTTAACTGAGGCAAGTAAGACCTGCAGTGCTTTAAAAGAGGATTTGGATTCCAACATGGCCTCCTGGACAAGTCATTGATACATTTTGAAGCGCCAGCCAATCCTGGGAGGGTTCAACACTATTCTGTGTTTTCTCCATTTGTATAAACTGGCTCTTACTGTGTTGTTAGATTCCCCTAAACCTTAAAAATAACTGTCTGGGACATGATGTACTAGAAACCTGTCAAGTATGCAGTGTATGACCACTGGGGACAGAATGGATATGGGTCATAATATGTTGCTTATATGTTGCTCTTTTAAATCTTTAACCCTTCCTCATGTTTCCAGGTGTTTTCTATTCAGGCTCTGGTAAAGATCCTTACCAGTGTTCCCTAAAAATGTGGATTTTTATTATAGTCCAGCCTGGGTGTCACCTGTGAACTAAAATTCCTCTTCTTTTTTTTTTTTTTTTTATAAATAATGACATTTAATTCATGATTTGGGACAGTTTTTACTGTGGGCTTGAGGGCTTTTCAGCTTTTTTTCTTTTTTTTCAGCTCTTAAAAAATCATTTTGAAACTGCTTTTCACAGTTTCTTTTTTGTCTCTCAGCATGTTGAACTTTGCTTAGCATGGTGAGGTGTGGGGGCTTTCTGGTTTTGCTTTAAGAATCTACAGTGATATTGTGTGACTTATTTATTTTTTTTCTTTCTTTCTGTTTTGCAAAGAGTAAAATGTTTTATCTGTTTAAACAGATTAGGTACACATTTAGCCCAAAATGTATTTCATCTAAATAAATAAATCTATTCTCTAGCAACTGTTGCCTTGAGTGGTTGAGTGGGTTTTTGTATATTTAGACCCTAAAAACCACAAAATAACGATCAGGTTTCAAATCTTTCCCTTGCAACTGCATACTTTCTGCTTGTTTTCACTTTGTGGAGCTTCATAGCATTCATTTAATCAACCCAGTACTTATTATTAAGCATAATACATACAGAAACCCAGATGGAATACATACATACAGTGTCTCTTGCTCAGCATAAACCAAGTTTTCAGGATTTGGTCTGGAATACCTATAGCTATATTGTTTGTTTGCAGTTGGTTTGCAAACAGTTCTTTGCACCTGTAGAACGTTTATCTACATGTCACATTGTATTTATAGAAAACAAGTATAGCACCACCCATTTCTGAACTTACTCTTAAACATAAAATAAAAAGTAGAGTTGGTAGTACCATAAATGATTAGCAAGAAAGTGTTCAGCTGCTACAACAAACAAAAAAGGAGAACTCAGGAAGTTGGGTTCCTGGCCCGGAGTCTTTCTGCATGGAGTTTGCATGTTCTCCCTGTGCATGCATGGGTTCTCAACAGGAGCTCTTCCTTCCACAGTCCAAAAACATGTTATTAGGTTAAATTACTTCTCAATGGATGGACATCTGTATTTATCTGAACATTTAGGGGGGAGTTGTAGCCTAGTGGTTAGAGCTTGAAATCCTGAGGTCCTGAGTTCCAGCCCCACTCCCACAGACTGCCACTCTGGGTCTCTGAGCAAGACCCTTAACCCCACACTGCTCCCCGGGCACAGCAACAAACCAGCCCACTGCTCCCCAAGGGGATGGGTTAAATGCAGAAGTATAATTCTCCAATGTGAGATGAATACATTTCAATTATCAATTAATTAGGAGTATATTTTTTTTATTGATTTAAGACTATAGAGGCAAAAACAATATAAAACATATAATCATAATGAAAGTTTCACACTTTATTAAAAATACTTCCTTATTTTTATGAAAAATAAAAACATTCTTAATATTAGTAATTCGTCCGCATAATCTGGTTGATCCACGGTAGAAAATAATTGACTTTTGTGAACACATGAGGATATGCTGTATTATCACATGCATTGTCGGCCGTGAAAGCAGTTATGCCTTGCAGCTTTTTTTTGCAAATGAGAGGTCCACCAGAATCCCCCTGGAAAACAAAATAATAAAAGACATGACAGTCGTTTCTCAGAAACTAAAATGATGTAGACTACAAAAGAATCTTGTCATTTGACTGTTTGTGTTATTTTATCACCTGGCATATTCCTCCCTTCTTCTTGTTAAATGTGGTGCAAATCATATGCTCTGAATTGAAATGCTCTCCCCAGGTTTTTTTACATTCAGCGATGGACTGGGTCTTTTCTTCCCCTTCTCTCAGAACGTTTGATCCAGGCTCATTTGGTCCAGTTTTTCCCCATCCAGCAACAAGACAACTAATCTTGTCAGAGACTTTTTTATCTTTCTTGGGTATCTCAAATGGCTTCACATACTTATTCTTTGTGGCATTATTTACTAGCTGTAAAGGAGAAGGCAATATACAGTTAATCCAATGCAGTTGGTTGTTTTTCAATCATAATTATAATCACTATTATACACTTTATAAAACCTTCCCGTTTAATCAGCCTTTAAAAAGCATATTTGGATATTTAAAACAACCATAGCTGAGTGCTGAATACCAATGTGAACATAAACTAGATACTGAGATAGAGAGAGGAGGAAAGCACAGGCTAATAAAAATATGAATGACTTTATCACAGCATTCGTGTACCTTAAGTAGCATGATGTCGAAATCAAATTTTCCAGCGTAATTCATATGTGGAAAGAACTTTGCTACTTTGATCCTTTGTTGACTTTTCTCCTCCTTGCCAATGTTATGTGCTCCAAGCACCACCACCATGTTGCCTGGAAATCTTAAAACATGAATATTGTTCCTTCAATGACAATCCCTTTTAATGTAAAACAAGCCAGCTCACAGAAAAATACACAACTAAAGGGTAACACAAAATGTTAACAAATAGAGAATGTCCAATGAACTAACAAGGAACCAATGGGTAGTTAACTAGGTATTCACTAGGGAACACTCAGCCCTGCCTTATAATGGGACTATTGCTTTGTTACCTGGGAAACACAGAATTACTAATCAGTAACTAATGGATAGTTACCAAGGGGGGAAAAAAACTACAAGATAGTTAACAATTGCTTATTAGCGTACTACTGGTTTGTTACCATAAAAACAGAAAATACATTTTCCATGTTTTTTCTGAATAATCCTTAAACCTGCAAGATCAAAGTTTATAAAAAATTTCATTTTTATTCATTTTTTTATTAACTATAAATAAGACCATAATATGCAGCTGCTTTTCACACGTTTCAGAAAGTCAGATCACATCATCGCCCTTTTATGTTCCTTAAATGGCTTCCAATATAGTTTATAATTTGTTTTATAAAATTCTCATGCTAAAATATGGACCACAAAAAGACCAGGTCTTAGTTTACTACTTTAACCTTCTAACAAAATATACTGTTTTCCAGAGGTCAAGAATCATTTAGTTTTCCCTTGCAGCAGTTTAAAGACCAAAGGTGGACTGAGCCTTTCAGTCGACGGCACCAGGGCTGTGGAGTAGTGCACCTCTACAGCTATTTTTCTTAGAATCTGTGGTCTTTTAAGATTCAGTTAAAAGCCTTGCTTTTAAAGAGACTTTTTAAAAAATTATTATGTTATTGTATCAGATTTGTTGTATATGGTGAGTTTTTGTCCTATCTTTAACATTTGATTTTAGCTACTGATTCTCTACAGCATTTTGTGATGGTTCCATCTGTGAAAAAGCACTTAATAAAAACATTTACTCACTTTACTGCTTGTTATATATCTAAAATATTTCATCACTGTTTATTAAGAGAATTACCCACTGTAAAATGTTATCCGTTTCATTAAAAAGAACCCGTGTCACAGAAAATAAACTCACTGGCAGTGCGCTGCTGTAAGAACAAAATCCTTCCGGATAAGTATGCCTCCACATGAATGTATGCCCTGGTACTGCAGGGATGCCATGTAGGGTTTCGAATGGGGCTTGGAAACTTTGCCTCCAACTATGCTGCTTGAAGTTGCTGACGTGCCTGTAAAATTTAGTCATTTTAAAATCAGCAACAACAGAAAAGAAAATATAAATGAGAAATTACATATTGTGCAAACATTCCAAAGAAACTACATAACTCTTACCAGTGAGGTGGACGAACAGGAGATAAATTATGGTCCACGTGTGTATCATAGTGGCGGAGAGCGAAAGGATGAAGTGTAAATGGCTTGCAGACCCCCAACAGCAACCTCTATAACATCTGGGAGAATTCTAGGTAAGGTGTCAGACAAGTTCTATTTCCTGTTAAAGCTCTTTCCACACATAGAGTACTACAAAGTTACTTTGCGCTGCATGCAAAACTGTCTCGTTAATTATATATTTTATTGCCTGCATTTTAAACTTCTACAATGCTTTATTTTCTTGTTTAACTTTAGCTTATGGTTGCTTATTTTATCAAAAATTAATAAACAAATAGATGAATATTCCGACCACAGGTATAAAACAACACAAAAAAGGCAAAACCACAGAAACCCCAACAATGCAAGTTTATAGGTCACTAATTTATTCAAAAGTTTATCCACAAGGTGGTGCTTTAGAGCAACCCTCTTTTCCTCTTAATAAGCCCAGAACCCGTTATTATAGTATTATCTGTTCTGAGTGTATAAAAAAGGACATTAAAGGGTTTCAGGTCTCAAACTCCTCACCTTTAGGAGGATTGAAAAGAACACTCTCTTAAAGCATGAAGCTGTATTGCACAAACAGCAATTAACAAAATCAAAAATTGTGCTGATGTCATTGTCAGTCCTTACTTCATCTCACTGTATAAAAGAAAATATGTCTGAAGAAAAATCTTTCTGTCTAAGTTTCTGTATAACAGAATAAATTAGTAAGTTCCTATTGATTACTAAACAAGCTAGTGTGTGCAGTGACACATGATGTAACAAAAAGAGGCATTTGCTTTCGTGTGAAGGAACTTGTTTTCATTGGTAACCTTTGTGATTTGTGACAGCTAACAGAGATTTAGAAATACTTATGTCTAAATCTAGACCGCCAATAGTTAATAACTTAGTTTTTATTATTTGTGTAGTGTTTGATGTATGCTGATCTGTGTACTTTTGTTACCTTATATGAGCATGCTGTGGTGTGGGGGTTGATGCAAGAAACTGAAATCTTAGACTTTAAGCGCACCTGATGGAGCTAAAAAGGTGTGGTTTTAGGATATAAAAGGGCAAAATCTAAGTTAGGCTTTTTTTCCATTCTGCTGATAAAGCAGAATGGAAAAACCAAACTTGAGTTACAGGAGTTGTTTCCCTGTATAATTTGCTCATTTTCAAATGTTTTGTTATACTTAATTTGAATAAAACCTGTTAAAACTTGAAATACTTTTTCCTTTTTGCATTACATAGAGATTTCTCCCTTGTGAATAAAGGATCGGAGATCAAACATTTCCAGTGGTTTTTGTGTGATTTTTTTGTCAGCAAATTCAACTTTGTACAGAAAAAGACAAAGTATTCAATTAGAATATTTTATTCATTGAAATCTAGGATACGTTTTTTTTAATGCGTTCCCATTTTTTTAAAATCAGTATATATATGGGTAAAATTTCCAAGAAATATGCTACTTTATGCAGACTTACAGGTACCTGTGGGAATCAGCGTCTGATCTCTATGAGGAAAAGTTCTCTCACTGGGTTTTCAGTTACGTTTAGGACTAAGATGTAAATTGAGTTTAGGTAAGGTTTAGAGGTTTAAGTATTTATTACTAATGGTAAGGCTTAGGCCAATGGTCTGGGTTGGGCTATAGAAATGACTGAAAAACTAATGGACATCAAAGAATAGTGGAAAATCAGTGTGCACGGATGTAGGTTTTCTTTTGTTCTATTATTTTGTTGCATGTTTGGTTTTTTGGTTGTTTCTTGCATTAATTTGAAACTAAAACAGACACAGGAGATGTCACCCACATTTTTCTGGGAGAACAGGTTAACTTTTTCTCAGTAGCTATAAAACATGTCATAGCTTGCATTAGGTGTGCTTTGAAATGTATTTTCTTGGTTGTGACATTTTTCAAAGATCAATGCTTTGGGGGATGCTGTTTTATAGGAGCTTTTTCAATTACTACTTTATCTTTGTCAGTGCGTTTTATAGTGCACAATATTTTATTCTCCACTCTAAAGGAGTTGGTATTACTTTCTAATAGTTTTACCATAGCTAACAAAAATGGTTAAAAGCTGTTTCATTACACAAACACTAATTAAATCTTCCTAAAGGCATACATGGTATGTTTGCTGCTGCCGTGTTGAAAAGATGGTCTGTCCTGATCTGTTGCTCTGTTGGTTCTGTTGATGTTTTCACTTTGTGTTTTGAGTTAGGCTTCGATTTATGTTATTCTTTGTTTGCTGTTAAGATTTATATCACTTTTGAAATACTTCTTAGTTTAGCCATTCTTTTTTGATGGTTTTTCAGTTATCTCCTGTTCAGTATTCTTTAGTATTTGCTCCAGTTTAATTTTGCCATTCATTGGTTGCAGTTAGGGCTGCTCAGTGGCACAGTAGGTGGCACTCCTGCCTTGCAAGAAGGTTCTTGGTTCGATTCCCCTCCCTCGGGTCTTTCTGCATGAAGTTTGCATGTTCTCCTTGAGCATGCGTGGGTTCTCTCTGGGTACTCCAGCTTCCACCCACAGTCCAAAAACATGACTGTTAGGTTAATTGGCTTCTTTGAATTCACCTCAGGTGTGAGTGTGTGCATGAATGGTTGTTTGTCTCTGTGTTGCCCTGGGATGGACTGGTAACCTCTCCAGGGTGTACCCCACCTCTTGCCCGTAGACAGCTGGAGATAGGCACCAGCAACTCTCACAACCATGCTAATAAGTGTGACAAAATGGATGGATGGATGGACAGTTGCAGTTATCTTTAGGTTATGTTTCCCATGGCTTCATAGTTGTCTTACAGTAACTTAAATCGTCACCAAGGGCCATCAGTGGGTGCTCCTCATCTCCCTGGGCCCTTCATGGTCACCCCTCTCCATCTGCTGTGCCGCGTAATTAGTCCTAAGTGGCACCTCTTTAACTGCTCCTCCTCTTTGTGTCTCTCAAGCTGCACCACCTCACTGTGGGTTTAAGCTGCGGCCACCAAGGCTCCTGCACCACAGTTTGCGCTCTAGTTTTATTTTGCCATTAATTGTTTACAGTTATCTTTAGGTTATGTTTCCCAAGGCATAATAGGTATCTCCAGTCCCTTTTCCTATCCTCTAGTTTCCTTTTGGTCATTCTGTATTTTCTAGTCATTAGTTTAATTCCCCTTTAGCTACATTAAAGTTTCTTCCTAGTTACTGTATATTTAAGCCCTATTGTATTCCCTGGTTACTCTCTGTTGCCCTCTAGTGTCCTTCTCCTTTCCCCTAAGCTCCCTCTGTCCACACCTTCACCCAATTAGTTCATGACTGCATTCATTGTTCTGTTAGACATATGTACTCCTCTGCAGTTACACAATACTGGGTTCTCTTCAATACCTCCTGAAGTTTTGTGTTACCCTCTGTTCTGATTCCTGTCTTACCTGGGTTGTTTTTGTTTTTTGGAGTTATGCTTTTGTTGTCACAACCCCATTCATTAAATCTGCAAGAAACCATCTCTGTCTTTGTCTCTGCATTTGGGTCCTCTACAAACCTCCACTCAACTTGGTGAAGTTATGACATATCTATAATCTTAGGTACCATAAAATTAATTGTTGTCATGATTTGACCAAAATAATCAATAAGAGGAAACAAATTACTATAATTTCAACATGTTTCTATGTCCAATAAATATTTGTTGGTAGCAATAATAGGTGATAAAACATCCAAAGTACATTAAAGTTTTAGTGTGATTTTAAAGTTAAAATCTTGGAAAAGAGCAACTTCTTCTTTACCTTGGCTAAATGCGACGAGACCTTGAACACATTCATATAAAATAAGCTAAACACATAAATTTCAGTTGAATATTATTTTTTTGAATAGTAAAGAACTAATAACTTATTTCCCAGAATTGTATGTGCCCTGGCACATGGATATGGTTTCAAGCCTGCATTGTTATTCTTCAAAATAGGAAAAACACCACAAGTTAGGTGTGTGGTGATTTTCCAAAGCAAAAGGTGTAGGTTATCAAATTTGGCTAGAAGAGGACCCAAGAGATTTGTTTACAGGTTTTATACAAGTGTTCAGCACTGGTGGTAATAATTTAAAAGGGTTTACATTTTGTCTATATAAAGTTTAAAACTATAAGAAAATACAACCCCTTGAATTTCACCACCCAGTGGAACTAAACTACTTTTAAATCAAACTCTGTCTGGGTAAGTTCAATAACCTCATTTTTTCGGCAGAGATTAGAGTGTACTGTCACTAATCTTACTAATATTTTTAAAAATTGTATTTATTTCAATCACTGAGAAAAGCTGGATGACAAAAATATATGCCAACTTAGTTTTTTAGATTTTTCTGGCCAAATAATGAATAGCATTATTCACATATACACATTTTACAGTACACCAGACAAAACATTTACAGTAGTGTTTGAAGTATTTACTTTGAGATGGACACTACTCAGATTTCTTCTTTCCTCCTCTCTTTCCACAGCACTTGCGAGTGCAAAACAAACAGGATTTCAAAGTCACCCACAAAACGGTGACAAAAACTAAAAGTAAAAACCCGATAACATCCAGGCTGTGGTACTGGAACCAGTTCAAATCATGTGCAGCTACTCTTAGATGTGGGGCTCCTTTGTGTCTCATTACGAACTCAGACCAGAAAACAGCCAGGTCCAATGGCTCCACAGGGCGGTCCAGATGTATCTGCGAAAGCTTCACCATCCGTTCTTTGTATCTATTGAGAAGACATAATTAGTTAGTGAGGAAAGGAGGAGGGGCTAAAAAACTGATTATGAATAAAGGCTGGAAATCCAAATCTTTTTCCATTAATCAATTTGTTCTTTTCCCCATCTAGACCTGTCATGTCAAATTTAAGACCTTTTCAAACCTTTAAATTCTGGATTAAATTATTTAAGTCCTTAGGTTTTAAAAATGGTTCAGTGAGAAGTTTTCTATGACCAGAAAATACCTATATTACTAAGGGGACGTAATCTTTTTTCTTTAGAGAGGCTGTTTGAATAGCTTTATCACCAAAGCTATACAAGAAAATATCCTCCAGGCAGGATTTGAGCAGAAGCGGCAGTCCCTTTACAGCAAAAGTAATTTCATCCAAAAATAATCCTAACCATATAATACCGAATACACATTTCAGAGCATCTAAGTGGAGTTGTCTGTGATAGGCCAACAGAGAAGTGTGCGTTTAAAGGATATGTATACACTTTTCAAATCTAAATTCTGAAGTGTTGCTGGAATTTATTTTCTGCAGCTTAAAAATATCCAGTGCAGACAATTGCTTTCAGAAGTCACAATCAAATATATAGAGGACAACAGTCAGTAATTTATTATTTTATGTATGTATAAAACATCTGTGAAAACGTTAATTGTTAAACTTTGGTTGTTGTTTCCCTTGTTTCACTGCTTCAAACAGATGCAATAATGCAACTCTTTAAAGTAGTATGAATCCCTGTGAAATAGAATCTCAATAAAATACAGTTAACACCCAATCACCAAAGATTTCAAATAAGGAACGCTAAATTGTATGGGGAAAAAAAAAAAAAAAAACTTGTGCAAGAAATGTGTGTTTTCAGGTGATCTATAAAAGTTCCTCTCACAAATGATAATATTATTGGTTTGCCCAATAATGAGTAGATTGCATGTACTTCTGTCAGTTTTAGAGAGCCATAAGTCTTTGTAATACTATACTTTAGTAGTATAATTATTTTAGAAATGAAAATACTACATATTAATTATGGTGCACTTTATATATTTATCTAAGAGTGCTACAAACAAAAGTGAAGAACTAAAAGTAAAAGTTAATATTAAATATAAATGATGAAATATTAAACATGGGAAAGTTGTTTTTGTCTGCTTGTTTACATAACTGGATTTACCTCAGCCAATTCCTCTTCAACAATCACTTGACCCAGTATACTGCAGAACAGCGAATGCCCATAGCAATTTCAGAAAACATAACTGTGCTTTTTGCAGAGCCCATTAAAGAACATTAAAGGCAAAAAAAAAATCCTTTGTAGCCCAAAGGCGGCTGGAGTTTGCCTGAATAATTTTCAAATACAATTAAGTCTGATTGCCTTCCAGTTTAAACCTGATATGTGGCGGAAATGTTTATACTATAAAATAAAAACAGCAACATCTAAATGTTCTGGATGACAAAGATTGAGATTTTCCAGACTCTGCTTTAATTATTCTAGTTCTTTCCACTTGCTTACTTATCTGCCTCTCTGAGCAAA